TTAAGAACAACAACAGGAAGATGCTGATGGCAGAGATGAGATAGAAGACTAAGTGGGAAAGAACAATCTTAAAGTGGCACATCCATTCTTTTAAATTAAAGTGGACTGAATTTACACTCAAACCTGATGAAAGAAAAAAAAATGCCTATTTTCAGAAAATCCACCTCTGGGGAAAGTTGCATACTGAAAAGTATATGTGAGGGAAATTTGCAGCCAGAATTAGAACACAATGCATATTTTTAGAAAAAATTGTACATTTATCACCTGAGGATTTGGGTATTTGTGTTTATTCATCTTGGGAATGAGAATGAGGATATTCTTAATTGGTCAAGTGTGATTGGACACATGAGGAATTTGTTTCTGATGTATAAGCTGTCAGTGTACATACAAACAACAAAGTGATAAATCATAAGATACCAATAGGAGAAGGTAATAGGAAAGATGAAAAGGACAATAGCAATTCAACCCTACTAGAATAGAATAACAGAATTGGAAGAGATCTTCTAGTCCAGCTACCTGCCTAGGCAGGAAACCCTACACCATTTCCGACAAATGGTTATCCAACATCTTTTTAAAAACTTCCAGTGTTGGAGCATTCACAACTTCTGGAGGCAAGTTGTTCCATCAATTAATTGTTCTAACCATCAGGAAATTTCTTCTTAGTTCTTAGGTTGCTTCACTACTTGATTAGTTTCCACCCATTGCTTCTTGTCCTGCTCTCATGTACTTTGAAGAATAACTTGACTCTCTCTTCTTTGTTGCAACCTCTGAGATATCAGAACACTGCTATTATGTCACCCCAGTCCTTCTTTTCATTAAACTAAACATACCCAATTCGAGCAACTGTTTTTTTTACATTTTAGCTTCTAGTCCCCTAATCATCTTTGTTGCTCTTCTCTGCACTCCTTTTAGAGCCTGAGAATATATGAGTAAATATCCTTAGCCATAAGACAATGCTTTGGGAATTAGGTGTTTAGCAGAGAGATGGTATGGGGGAAAAAACTTGTCTTTGTGTCTAGGTGTTTTGGCCGCAATGCCCTGTAGTGGCATCCTGAGGGGAGCAGTTTTTATGCCCAGATCCTCCTCCAGATGGCAGCCTTGTTGAAATGTTCTCTCGTAGTTTTTTATCTTTGTATGATACATGGTGTACAAAATTTTAGCTGGGGTGGCTACTGAGGTATATATGTTTATGTTTCTTCACTCTTGGCCAGAGAAATAGAGAAGGATTTATTTACATTCTTACCAATTTTTATATCCAATTATCAGTCACTCTGAGCAGCTTAGTATACTGTATTCCATAAGGAAGGGTTAAAAAATTACACATAAAGATCTCTCTCAACTTAACTCTCAGTTCCATACTAGGCACCATAAAACTGACTCAATTCGAAAACAAAATATCTCATTACAAAAAGGGAATACATGATATTTCTGTCCCCAAGTCCTGCTGGAGAAACTAGATTTCCACAAACTTTCTAAGATAGGTTGGGGCCTTCTCCAGCACAATGTTTTCCAAAAAATCCAATCCTTTCCACCTTGATGATAATCTGTTGATTCACTTTTCCCCCCCAGCGTTGGTGAATTTAATATTGAAAAAGGTTAGGTACCAATGTTTCAGAAAGGAAAGACTGGATCTGCTGGAACTAAGCAATTCTTGGGGGCCCTTGTCATGATTTCTAATGACTTGTCTCCCAGTGATTTCATGGAAGCTTTCATTTCCAGCCTCCCCAAAGCAGCCTGGGAGGAGGTAAATATTGCAGAACTTCTGACTTCCCAATGCTTCATAAATTTCTTCTCATGTAGGGCTGCTTTGCCAATCTCTTTCCTGTTCAGGAGTGGTTACAGTGGTTGAATACTGTATCACCGCATAGAAGTTGGCAGGCTTAGCTTAACCTTTTTATATTGCTTGTAGCCATAATTACTTTCACCCAGTGGTGGGATTCAAATTGTTTTACCACCAGTTCGGTGGGTGTGACTTGTTGGGCATGGCTTGGTGGGTGTGCTTTGCCTAATGCCGGCATGCAGCTTTCCTCATACTAGCTGAGATCTGCAGTGCCGATCAACTGAGAAGATAACGAACAGAAAAGCATGGGGGCAGGTAGGAGGGCTGATCCTGTGCTTTTCTCTTCTTTTTCTTCTCACCTGATTGTTCAGGATTTTTTTTCCTCCTCTCAGCTGATCCTCAGCTTTTTTTTTTACTGCCGGTTCCATACCACCACTGTTTTCACCCCTTCCTGCAGGCAGCTTTTCTCTATTTCCCTAAAGCTTATGCTGAAGTCATTATTTTATTTTAAAACTATATATTACAGTTGCAAACTCCCTGCCAAACTGAGTTTTGATCTAACCTGAAATATAGTCTCGGAATTATTGATAGTACAATAAAGGCTGCAAAGAGAAGCAAGTTGGGGAAATTATCTTTGGCACGCAGCTTGTTTTACAAAGGTTTAAAGTATTTCTTCCTCTTTGCGTGCTCACGCTAACCCAAGTGTGTGTGTGTGTGTGTGTGTGTGTGTGTGTGTGTATTTCTCACCAGGAAAATAATAATTAAAACGTTGATGGGATCAATTATTCCACAGGCATATACTTCAGAATTCTAATAGTACTTCAGGCACTAATGAATAAATATTTCAGGAAAGCGAGCACTGTTTAAACACTTGGAAGGGAACAAGTGTATACTGATGAATGTTGAAGTGAGTCTCTTTTTAAAACCAGATCTGTAATATTAAAAATGATTCATCTGCTTAAAACAAAGTGTGATATTGTAAATAAGCCTTATAAATCTGCAGGGTCGCTATAATCTTAATAAAGTATATGAAACTCCCAAAGCATATTATGATTTGCTCTAACTCATTAATTATCTCCCATCCTTTACCCCTTTACTTATAAAGAAATATCTGAAAAAGCCTAGCAACAGCCTCCCCCCCCAAAGGATATTTAAAACATTATGGATTCCAAGTATTAAATGGTTCATTTTACCATCCTAATAAAAATCAGGATATTTCTCAACAGTTACATCACTGTGCTATATTGTCATCTTCTTATGTAAAAGGAAATATTTTTTTAAAAAAGTATTCTGATTACACGGTGGACATATTCCTCTCAATGGAAAAAAATCATATTTCTCTTCAGGGATGGATGACCTAACTAGAAATGTTTATGAAATTATTACCTTCTTTACATTAACTTGCCGGTCAAAGTTAGTAGAGAGGTCATATCAAATTGATATGAGTGTTTTCTCTAGATCAAGTATTCACAGATATCACTGTTCCTAAGATTATTTCTATATTTGTTAATATACTTCCTGGTTGTGGAATATTGTATTAGCAGAGCAATATTTTTCTACCATTCCAATGCTGAAGATAACGATGCCACATTGAAAAGTCAGATAGATTAGTTATGTTGGTAAACCAGACAGATTAGTTCTGTTCTCCAACAAACAGCAAAACTGCAACTAAGAAAATGTGTTTTTCTTTAAAAAATGGCTGTACATAAGAACAGTGCCTTACAAATGCCAGTGGGCTGTGCAGCCTATTTGGGAAAATTGTGAAGAAAAACCTGAAACTAATTTAACAGGGAAAAATGAATTCTTACAAAGTATCAGTTTTAAGACTCATTGAAATCTTATTTCACATTTTTTCCAATATTGCATACATCTCCCTTTTTCAATAGCTTCTTAGCAAAAGCCACACCTAGAAATGAAAAAGGTCATGCAATGTATTGGAACAAAATTGTAAACATTTGGATAGTATTGCTAGAATAGACTTTTTCATGGACTTGTCTGAAAATATGCAGGCTTGTTTGGCTTGAATATAAATCCACTGGTCAATGGGATTAATAGGGTCTGTCTTTTATTCAGGTCATGAATCATATGGACACCTGGAAAAAGCAGGGGTAGTATTGCTTTAAGGCTTTTGCCTAAATGAGGTTATTTGGAATAGTTATCCATAGCTCATGCAGATTTTCCTCAAAGTTAAATTCCCCTTTATAACTGCACCAAACTGAAAAAAATGTCTTTGCTGGTAACACTGCCCAAGTGAAGAAATTATAAGTGTGCAATTTGGATTGGTCTAGATCAGGATAAAGCATTTTATCTGCTTCACCACAATTTCATAATATGAAAAAGATTATTTTCATACTTACATTTTTCGACACCAACCTGGCAATAGATTTATGCTTATTGTATTTTGTGCTAACCATGTAAATATATCTTAAATGAAAATTTTATCAGCAAATGAGGACCAGGAGTTATTTATATCACTGACCTAACAGTCCAAAATTTCTAACTTGATCTAAATTAAGATTTACATGTTTAATTTCCTGGCACTTTGGAAGCATCAAATATTTCCAAAAGATCAAGTCTGAAAACAATTCCAAGAGGAATTAAAAAGTCTCCTTCCATCTGAAATATAGGCTATCAATTCTCAACTTGCCTGTCTGTGTGAAATAGCAGGTTCTTGTCTCTGATGTTGCAATTTTGTTTAAAATAGCCTTGATGATGGCAGGGTACACGAGAATGAAAAAAAAATCAAAAAGATGACAGCCTAATCTTCAAAGATGACCGATCTCAGATAAAAGATTAAGTCACTCAGCATTTGAAATACCAGATTATCTGTCTCCTGGCATCGTGTCTGTATACCTCTCCTGCTGAGTTCTGCCAAGATACAACTGACATGTAAAGATGCTACATCTTACACAACTGAATTGCTATAGAGAATTTTGTTGCCTCCAGCCATTGGGTTAAAAGAAACAAATCCCCAACTGAAATATTTAACTAATCAAACATATGTTTTTGAGACAGGCAAAGCACTTAGACGTACAAGAGGTAAATATATTTTAGAGCCAGTTATATAAAAGCCTTTAAAATAGTTCATTTTGCCATATCTAAGCACTCACAGATGGCCTATCAATGGGTTAGTAATGATTACACACCTTTTGTTATTATTACTATTTTATGTATTCCCGTTTTTAAAAAAAAATAAATATGGGAAGAAAAGCATACTTACAAGGATTATTAGACATGCTGGTCCTATAAAACTCCATATAAAGTTATTCTTTGTGCTGAGCCAACATCTGTAAGGTAAATAGGAAGAAATATTTTGAACTACATTTACGGATTAAACCTTCTTGGCCTAGTATTGAGAGCCGAAGCCTTACTTTTTTGGTATTCTTATTTCTGGACCAAAGTTATTTACTCTGTTGTTCCTGGGGCTACAGGCAACCCATTTTTTTGTTGTAGATGTGTACAGTGTTTCAAAGTTGTGCTTCATTTCAAGAGAGGTTTGAGAGAAGCATACCTTCAAACCTGTTTGGCAAAGCAATGTACATTCATTTAAAAGGGGAGGTGAAACAGCTATGTTGTTTCATTTTACATTGTTTGAAGCCCTGGTCAGGCAGACAGCTACTGGATAGGCCAGAAAAAGCTTTAGAGAGAGTCACTGTATCCTCCAAATTCTAGAACTGATGAAAGAGATGATAAGGCAGAAAGGCTATGGGAGGTACCTGAACAAGGAGCATTGTGTTACCTCCATAGTGACATGCCATGCCAATAGCCAGTTTTGTGTGTGTTTTAGGTACTGGTCTAGAAGCCAGGAGACTGTGAGTTCTAGTCTTGTCTTAGGCATGAAACAGGCTGGCTGACCTTGGGCCAGTGACTCTCTCTCAGTCCAATCCATCTCATACAGTTATTGTGGAAAAAAAATAGGAGGAGAAAGGAGTATTAGGTGTGTTCACTTCCTTAAGTTACCTATAAAGTACTAAAGGTGGGATAAAAATTTAATAAACAAATAAATGGCTCAAAGAACCTTGCTGACACCTAATTGGACCACCTTGAATTGGTCTTGTTCCTGGTTAGAAGATATAGTGTTGCCTTAAAGATGGATGAGATAAGGGTTAGGGTTTGGATTAGAGTAAGGAATAAGGAATCATTGAACTGTTAGTAATGAACAAAGTTGATACAAAATGTCCCAGAATTCTCCATCCCTGGGATTGATGTAGGTGCCTATTCAGAACAATTCAAATGAAATTTGAGGTTTTAAAAACCTTTTTTTGGAAGGAGAGAATTTGGCCAATTTTTTATCAATGCCCGATTGCTAGGTTCTAATTGTTGCCTGCCTTCAGATTAGAGTGTTATCAATCCTGTTTGGGCAGGTTACAAAAAAAACAGATAAAGTTATGCCTGAATGACTTTATTCGAATTGAATTGAATAGAATTATTTTATTGGCCAAGGAATTTGTCTTGATGCATATGCTCTCAGTGTACATAAAAGAAAAGATAAGGGAAATTGGAAAAAAAAGGGAATGAACCTACTTCTTTGCATAATAGGGAGATATTTTTTCCTTGAAATATTGAATATTAACTATTGAAATATCATTGACATTATTTTTGTAGTAGCTTGGATAAAAGAGAAGAGAAAGAAGGAGGAGAGGAAGAGTAGGTTGCTATACATCAGAAAATATAACAAATAACCTATAATAAGGGGGTGGGGGACTTGGGAAATAGATATATAGCATATAATATCAGACCAGAGCTGCTAAGTGTTACTTTCTTCCAGGGAAATGAATGGAGACACCTTTATAGATGAGACCACTAAATTTGATCATTTGATTTTCTCTTGCTCCAGAAATAAATAAATAAAAACATCTTGTCTTAAATGCATACTTTCAGACTTGATTATCCTATCTAGTTTTGGTTACAGATGTCAGTTTCCCCTTGAATTGATATACTGAGCTTCATCCAATTCAACAGAGAAGACAGAACATTAGAATAAAGTGTCCATACACTGAAGCATAGTCAGATATGTGTCTGAGGATAAATCTCTAAATTAAGATCTACTCATTTTTAAATGAGGAGAACTGAAGTCAAAAGTTAATAGTATTTCAACGCTGTTAGTATCAAATGACTAGATGTGTTAAAAATATTGACAACGAGAATGTCATAGCCAAAGCATAGTTGCACTAACACATCTTGGCAGACTGTATTTGGACCACTTTTGAAATATCCAAGGTGTAAATAGTAACTTACACATCAGTTGTTCCATAGTATTTATATCCCAGTGCAGCAGAAATGCCAACCACCACTGCTGGGCTTACATAGCCAAAAATATAGAAATTCTTGTGTAAGAATCCTTTATTGTAGATTACTCCAACAACTATAAGATACAAGTGAATGCCTTCGATACACATCCATGCAAAAGCCGCTAAGAGGAAGTAATGGAGCAATCCAGCTGTGATGGAACAGAATAGCTAGAAGGAAAAAAAAACCCGGTACAGTATAAGTGACTAATATAAAATAGTACATTTATTGCAATGCAGGTTAAAACTTTCTTTCTGTACAGAGGAAGCACAGGTTTTTCTGACATTTTGTCTCGAGCCCATTAAGGACCTGTCATCAATTGTCTGAATCTGTATAGGGAAACACTTGGACCAATGTCGTTTGAAAACTGGAGCAACATATATGCTTGTTTTGCCCATATAAATTTTTAGCCTGAAGTATTCACTCTGACACATTGGACTAGATAAACTGTGGGCTAATGTACAAGTAGTCCTTGACATACATTTAGTGACTGTTCAAAGTTACAACGGCATTGAAAAAAAACCATTTGTCAGGCTCTTGGTATTCCCAGCCCATTCTGGAGCCTGACACACCTGGGGGGGACAGAGCAGACCAGCATGCAAGCCTTCAAAACGACCCGGAGGAACTAATCTGTGTTTGGCAACAGGCAGTGCCAGCTGCGAACGCCAGCTCAGGAAGTGGCACATGGGAAGGGTCAGAGAGGAAAAGAGGCTGGGCACAGGGTGAGATGATGCATCCATGAGGAGACAGGCAGGGGAGAAACCTGAAGCGGGGGGATAGGGACTGCGTTGGGTGTTGTTGGCAATTGCCGAGACAGCGGGTAATGGGGCTGATGTGAACAGGCAGATAGGAGACAGGCACGAAGGAATCAGGCATGGGGGAGAGTCGGGCGGATGGTGGAGAGATACTGCAAGTAGGGAACTGACATGGGGGATAATTTAGATAATGAGATGAGCGGATGTTGGGTTAGCAGCCGGGGCAGATTTATAACGCACCGAGAGGCAGTAGCTCTCAATGCTAGCTTTGCACAAACTATCATTCTTGTTGGTGAGGTTACCAGGTTGTGATCTAAAATAAAGACGTGACTACACAGCAGAAGCATGAGTGCCGACTTTTATATTTCTGCGCATTTGCCCTGGACCCTGAGCTGGCTGAGAGCATGTTTCACACTTATGACTGTCGCAGTATCCCCATGGTCATGTGATTTACATTTGGATGCTTGACAACTGATTCACATGGATGACGGTTGTAGTGTCCCAGGGTCATGTGATACCCCTTTTGTGACCTTCTGGTGAGCAAAGCCATTGGGGAAACCAGATTCACTTAACAACTGTGTTACTAATTTAACAGCTGCAGTAATTCATTCAACCAATGGGGCAAGAAAGGTCATTAAACAGGACAAAACTCACTTAACACATTTCTCATTTAGCAAAATAAATTTTGGGCTCAATTGTGGTCGTAAGTCGAGGACTACCTGCATTCTCTCTTCCTGGAGATAGATTTAGATTCCTCTTACTTTCCTTACAGCAATGTGGATAAGCAACATTTTTCTATACTGATTAAAAATAAAGCAACCCATAAAACAAATTGGCAGAACTCCTGCTGGTATTGGAACATTGCCAGTCCAAACAATTAAGAGTCTGCCTTCACTTTCATTAATGAAGGTCTCAGTTCTCCGTGAAGTCCACAGGCAGAAGAATTATTCAGTGGAGTTTATACATCTGAACTGAACTGAATTGGCTGGAAATGTTAGATGAGGATTTTAAAACTCACAGAAATGGTATGGTTATATTAAATGCTGATATTCACCTTAAGACTGGGAGATACCCCACAGATACTGTCTATTATATGCACATCATTGCATAAATGACAAAAATGATGCAATCTGCGTGATGACATTCTGTTACAAGCTATACGACATCACATAGTCTCACAAAGGCTCATTAGGACATACACCTTTGAAAATGGGCACCCTTTAACATACCATTTTCGGCATTAAGAAATAATGCTCACCTTATTAGTGTTCATATTAATTCCAATCAAAAAAATAAACTCTGCCAGGAAAAGGCTGCAACAGAGATTTTTATGAATTGTTGTTCTTGTACTTTGGATTTCGCTGAAGAACCAAAATGTGAAAATGCACATGGCGAGGCAAATCAATGAGATAATAATTCCAAGCTGAGTGATTCTTGTAAGAATATAATCCTTAGCTTCCTGGGATTGAAGAAAAAGGATAGTCCACTTGAACATTTAAATAAAACTTTATTTTTGTCCCCCCCCCCCCGCCAAGGTTGTCTATATTGCATGTGTATGTATGTATCATCGCATGTAAAAGGCAGGTGCACCTGCTCTATTTTATGGATTTTCCCTGGTTTCAGAAATACAGCAACTAAATAAAAATCTCTTGCCTAGAATGTTTACTTTTAGTTTTGATTATCCATTTCAGTCTTGGTTATAGATCACAGTTTCCCTTCCCTCCCCTCCACTCCTCTGCCTCCCTCACTCCTCCATTCCCTTCCCTCATTCCCTTCCCTTCCCTCCCCTTCACTTACTTTTCTCTCTCTCTTTTGTTATTATTCAAATTATTCAAAGTGACTGGCAGAGAGGAAGGAGAAATTAGTGTGGGTTTCATTTTAATGTCAATTGTACCCTTTCTGAATATCAAAATAATCTTTGTACAATCTTTCTGAATGTTTCAGTGTCATTCATAAATAAAAAAAAGATATTCTAAAGTTATAATTGAAGAATGTTGGCACTAAAATGGATATGCATATGAAGAAAAGGGAAACACATACTTTAGTTACTTTTCATGTAATTTATTAGCATAACTCTAGGTCAGCACTGCAAAATCTAATTTCTAAAATGTCATCTCCAAAGTGTGAAAAGTGTGAAACTTCTGTGTGTTCTTCATTCTAAACCTCTGGAGTGAGCGCACGCTGTGAATATTAAAAATGATGAAGGACAAATGAGGGTCTTTCTAATGGCTTTCTGAGGTATAGTACACAGACTAAGAAGTGATGCGTAGAAAAGTGTTTAATGAAACCCATAGTTTTTGCACAGAATAAGTTTGGCAAGGAACAAAAAAAGTTTGGACAGCAGTCAATTCTTTTTCACTTCACAAAGAACCGATCAGTGGGGCAGTTGGAAAACAAGGTAGCGATTGCAGGAGGATAGGTTAAACTATAGGTAATATAATGCTCTTTGTCACATTGCAGAGTCAGACTGTCAAAGAGACTTCATTGATCCATACAATTTTGCCAGGGATGCTGAAACTTTGGCATGAGACTGTAGTAATTTCTATTGTCTGTGAAACATAGTGCAGGGACTCATAGCTAGTGTAGGTCTCTCATTTCCATTGGACCTTTCTTCCAACTAAATGTAGGTGAGAATATCTTTTGAAATGGAAGGGTCATTTCAAGTTCAGATTTTTTTACAGTATAAAATGGCCCTTTTTTTTTTTTCAAATAAAGATGTATCAAAAAGTAAAAGCTGGCCATTTAAAAAAGAAGAGATGTTCCATGATAAGCCATGGAAAATGAACAGTGAACTCTATAAAGTAAGATAGAAAAGGGACCGCATTGTACCAATGGATATCTGGAGATTCTAAGAATGTGATGTCCAGGGTCAACCTAGGCACAGAAATATCTAATCCTGAAGAAGAAAGTGGTAAGGGAAGGAGAATAATCTGTTTGCAGAATATATTTCTCATGCATGGGGTTTATGACCCCCAAATAGGAAACACTAATAAAAATAGTCTTTAAATTTAAAAAAAAAACACTTACAACTTTAGAGCCATTTGAAGACATCAAGACTGCAAAATGAGTAAGATGGTTACAACTGCATGACGTATGTGTGTTATTGGAGTTAATCCTCTCACACCCTTCTGTGGCCCAGTTTCCTTCCATCGTGTCTTCTGAATAATTCCAAAATACACATTTAACATCCTTTTTGCCCACAGTCTGGAGCAGAAACAAAATGTGTTAAGAATGATAAATGGCCTACAATTGTGCGAACCTCTCTTCATGAACAACCTCACCCCTGAAATTTGGAAAGTCTTGAAGATCTGGCTTTTCACTTAGTATTCTGACCAAGGCTTCCTGAGACCGTAATTAAGCACACACTTAGTCCAAACAACTCTTGCTTTATTTCAGCACTGGGAATTATGTTCATTCCCAGCATGTAATGAGTTCCAAACAGTTCCTCATGATAAGCACCCACCTTTGTCTCCTTTGAATTGCTGCCAACAACTAAAGTGCCAAATTAACTGTAAAAAACCAACCGAAGTACAACGGCCACGCAGAGCTTCAAGATTTAATCCGAACAGAGCAAACGACTTTGCTTTTTGCAAAGGTTTCTCTACCTTCCTTTATACCTTAGGGGAGGGGCAATGACCTCCAAGCCTTACTCCCAAGTCACCTCTTTTGTCTTAGCTGCTCTTGTTTTCTAGCAGCTCTGCACACACATGCACAGGGAACAGGTTTCCCTTGTCCTTCTGCCTTGCTGCTGCCAAACTCTGGAGGCTCCCGAATCAGCACATAATTCACAGGTGGTCCTGACCCCATCTCTGCATTGGACACAGTACCCTGATCTGAATCCTTCACAGACTCCTGGACTAGTCCCCGTTCTTCCCCACTGTCCAATTCCGCTGCTGTCTACACAGGCTGCCGGTGAACCACAACACTTAGGGCCTGAGCCAAGATGCTAGTTGTATTTTATGCCGTTGGAACATCCATAAGGAATCACAGTTAGGTTTTTGTTATAGGTTGCTGTCTCATTATTTTATTTTTAGCCATCCAAAATGACCGTATTATTATTTGCTTGTTCCTTGTAGCCCTAATTTTGCCAAGGTTGTGTGTATACATACATACATACATACATACATACATACATACATACACACACTTTATTTTCTGTTGGATATATTTGACTTGCTTTCAACCTTGAACTTCTAACATCTATGGAAAATGCCTCCATTTTTTAAAAAATGTACTTCTACCATCCCTTCTCCCCGATTCTACCTCCAAAGTTCACACATGGGTTGTTGTTGTTGTTATTATACCCTGAACCTCCTCCAAATAATTCACAATAGGTCTTTGACCTTCATGAGAATGCCTAAATCAAGAAGCGCTTACTTTCCAAGAATATGTAGTGGGGTTTTATGGCTATGCGTGGATTTGAATGTTCATCTTTTCAATCCATATTTATCATTCTGTACTCTCAGCTGTTATGTACTATCACTGTATAATGGCAAGTAATCCAAAATGAAATATCCGGAATTATATAGCTATTCTGTAAAACTGTCACTGTGATTGCTGACGGCTATAAGAAACAGTGGCACCATTCACTCTGATGCCCTGTTAAATTTTATTCTTTGTGGTTGTTGTACTTTGCTAAGTAACATAAGGAATGCAACAGCCTCCCACTTTTCAAGTGGAAAAATGCTCAGAATTAAGTGTTGGAAGTACAAACATATTGGCACTGACCCTTTAAGATCAGTGTAATCTACTGATCACCAGAGGCAGTAGGGTGCTGCTAGAGTGTTAAGGGGTTTGCTTCACCTATTACTGCTTGTCTAAGAGATTTCTAATCTGAAATAATTTATTTTTTCCTTTCTTGCCGGGTATATGGTAGGAACCAATGATCTAGGCTTTACTTATTCCTATAGTGCATTTTCTATAAATGAACCTTTCTTTTATACTTACAAAATGTGCTTCATTAATTTTTTTTTCTTGGGTGCTATTTTCTTTTTCAAAAACGGTCATATACACTTCAGCCTTCAACATGGAAGGGCCTTGGATTACACTTGCACATTGTTGACAAATGTGTAATAAGACTTCCATGCATTCATTATTTTTGTCAGTTTCTAGTCACACTTTTTAGTAACTACCTACTCCTACTCCCTGCCTTGCACTTGCTGTGCCAAACTCAATGTTGTAATTTTCCTTCTAATTATATTATGCCATATTGGCAAACAATAGAATTATAAGGGTATTGCCAAAGCAGCTCTTGCAAGCCACTATAGAAAAATTACAGTGTAAAGTGAGAGATGTTTTAAAAAGAAATCTTACCTGTACATGTTTTAAAGTAAATATTATTTTCTCAGCTGGATACAGCCCAGGTGGGGTGGACCTAATTGCAACAGCTATAACAGATGAACCTACTATTTCTCCATCCTCTGTATTTTCTGCCAGGGACAAATTCTGTGGTAATGAAAGCAGAGCTCCAATGTTGTCGTATCGCAGAAACACAACTGCAACTGTGCCTATCCATCAAATAAAACATACTTAGTGGTTTGAAGATTGTTGATTTTAAAAAAAAAATAGAAATAGTAAAATAATGTTTAAAAAACACTAAGGAAACAACAATCAAAAGACCTTTGTAAAACTCTGACAAGAAGAATATCAAAACAATGGAAATTTTGCAGAACACTTATGAAAGACTGAAGAAACAGGGAGAAATGTTTAAAGCAGTAAGGGCTGTGCCACTATCAGAAATTAAATTTATGATAAAACATTCAATCAAAGAATATTGTCCATATTTTTGGAAGGTAAATCTTCCAACTGTACAATTTAAGAGGCTATAGGTTCCAGGAGTTAGGGGATTAGTTTTCAATCCCAGACAAGGGTTGTCCACATTGCCCATTGCAACTATGCAAGTGAATCTCCACCTCATTTTTAAATGCATTACCCAAAAGGTTAATGTAAAAAAAAGTTCATACAGTCAATCATACAGTCATGACTGCCATATTCTTTTTTTTAACCCCCTCACACATACCCTGTTAAAATAATTATCCAAGCAGTACAGCTCTTATAAAATGGACAACATTCTGAATGTAGACCTACTGAATATCTTTTCCTAACAAGTGACTTTGCTTGAAAGTAGTAATGACAGAAAGGTGATCATAATGTTTATGAAATATTAAAAAAACCCTTTTAATTACTGGCTTTTAAAATCCAGTAATTTTGATTCCTTACTTCTCATTATTTAAACTTAAATACAGTATATCCAAGCGCATTTATACCTTGCCAAGAATCTTGCCTCCCCCTATTGTTGTGATCAACACTAAGCTCTGAAAGCATTTATGTTTGGTGTTCCCGCTGAGACAGAAAGTCACATTAAATATTGTGTACAATATGGAGAAAGGAGCAATCAATAGGAGGCTAATTTCAGGGTCAGCTCATACAAAGGGTTCAGATGTAATTCATAAGGAGACTCTGATACTTTGGCATAGCTGCAAGAATGGCATTCAAAAATATTTGCTTCCATTTCCAATTAACCACATTTTCTCTGAACCACAAGCTGTGATTAGGGAAGCAAGCCCACTTCAGAAATCTGAGTTTGACACTAGCTTGTAAGCTAACTACATTTTGTCCATGGTCACATAAAATAAGAACTTTAATTGTTTACCAAGGGATGCAGAACCTTTTTTTAAACTCATCTGCAATCAAGTCCATGAATCACATGTAATGTAAGAGATATGTGACATAGTCAAAATGTAAAGTTTAGGTTTAATTTCTTTGGCATTCCTCCCACTCCAATCTAATTTATTTTAAAATAGGGAAAAGAACAATATTTTGTAGACTGCATTAACAAGACCTCCTAAATTGAAGGTCCATCTGACTGGGGGAAAACTTTTAAACTATCTATTTCAAGTAAAACAAAAACAAAACAAAACCAATAAGGCAGTAATACTACCACCACCACCACCCCCCAGTGTACATATATAGTATGATTTCCACTTGTGCAATTATAGTCATTTGGTTAGATTCCAAGGTCATGATACACCCCAGATCATGTACTACTCTTTTACTTTGTGCAAAATTATATCTCATTTTTATGGGAATACATGACTTATTTAAGGGATGGAAAGTATCTTATAGATTGATATATTAAATATCCTAAATAATCATCTGCCCCTAAAGACTCAGATTGCACGGCTCCTGTTAGACCTCTCTCTTTTTGCACGCCCTCCTTTTTCTTACTTGCAATGCACTTTCACAAATTTCCTGCTTGCAGAAGATTGCTCCCCTGAAATCTAAGGAAAAGGTTTCCTTGTAGAGAACTACAGAAATGTAGTTTACACAAACTCATTTTCAGTCAATGTATGCAACAGATCACAAAATCCTTAGGAAAATTTATTAGTGTAAAAATGAAAATCCCAGAATGGCATTAGATTTGTTTTCCACTTTCTGTTTCATCTATTCAACTTTATACTGGATTTCCTCATACTGCAAGTGGAACAATGTGGCTGATGATTCTCAGACAGTTTTCCACTGAATCCACCTATTGTACCAACAAGCCCAAACCACCATCCTAACCTTTAGCAGCAGATATTTCCTTTTTCTTTGCAGAGACCTTAATACTGTCTCCTCCCATCTGAGTATTTTGGTTGATGAGGTTCACCTTCTCTGTGTCAAAAGTATAAAGTCTTACAGCTGAAAAAGAAAAAACGGGAATAATGTCTTTGTGAGTAACAATTGTACTGAGGACTAGCTTATATACTGTGTTTCCCTGAAAATACCACCTTCCACCCCCCACCCCCCCAAAATAAGCCTCGGCTTGGGTTTTTTATGCATGTACCTAATATAAGCCCTATGCCAAAAATAAGCCCTAGTGAAGGGAGATGGTGTGGCCAGCATAGGAGGAGGTGAGTGCATGTGTGTGGCAGCAGCTGTAGCCAACATAGCATAGGTGGATTGAGTGCAAACAGCAGGTGCAAGCAGAGGTGGGGAGAGGCAGGCAACACATGGGCCATGGGAAAGCCGAGCAGTGGCGAGCCAGAGCAGTGGGCAGCTGCGTGAGGCTCATCTTCATGTCTCTGAGCTCTACACATTGGGATTGCCTGCTTTCCGGTCTGTGCCTTCTGCTCCACACAGCCGACTAAGGGATCAGCAGGTTGTAGCTGCTGCTGGATACTTGGGTGCCCGCACACTTGCTAGCTCTTGCGTGTGTACTGGGAGGGACAGGGCATCCAGCTGGACTGATCACCCTGAAATTGTGCTTCTCCAACATTAAGCCCTAGTGCTTATTTTGGGACCCCAAAGAAAATAAGACCAGATCTTATTTTGGGGAAAACACAGGTATAAAGTTCTGCAAGAACTATTATAGGCAGTTCTTGATATGCGACCACAATAGAACCCAAGCAAGAACTTGTGAAGTGAATTTTGCCCCATTTTACGATCTTTCTTGCCAAATTTGTTAAGTGAATCACTGCAATTATTCAGTTAGTAACACAGTTGTTAAGTAAATTTTATTTCCCCATTCACTTTGCTTGTCAGAAGGTTGCAAAAGCTGATCACATGACTCCAGGACATTGCAACCATCATAAATATGGTCAGTTGCCAAGCATCTGAACTTTAATTATGTGACCAGGGGGATACTGCAATGGTCATAAACGTGAAAAACAGTCATAATTCACTTTTTTCAGAGTCACTGTTACTTCAAACGGGCACTAAATGAAATGTTGTAAGTCAAGGACTACCTATACACAGGGCTTTACAGTCATTACAGATTCAAAGAGCACAATGTTATTAATGTTTAAAAAAAAAACTCTACAATTCACAGCAAAATACATTGGTGCCCAAATAACAGCATATCAAATTATGTGAATGATCCTATTATGTGCTTGTATCACAATGTTCAGGTACATCAATTAATATGTCAGTATTAATATTATGCACATATATTAATGCATAATATTAATGAATTAATATAATGTCATATATTTCATTCTTTGTCCTTTTTGTCTCATCCCCAATACTGATCTATAGCTCTTTAATATTTTGCTCATGTGCTTTAAACTTTAGGACCACATTATTCATGGTAGGTGGATGTCCTTTAATTCCATATTTGTACCTTTTCATTCTTTGCCTGGGGAAAAAAAATGTAACCTCTAATTTGCTTTGCATTAAGCAAGGTTTGGTAAAGAATAATGAAAGCTGCCTTCAGAAGAGCTTCCACTTTATTAAAAATGCATTTCTGAAAGTGAATACCAATTTCTTTAAAAGCACAAGAGACAATACCTTTGACAGTATTTATTTTGAAATCCATTCAGTGTGCGTTTATGTGAAGATAAAGGCATGCAATTCAACTGCATTGGACTATAATGATATTTGTTGTCAAAAACAAACAGACCAAATATCATCCCCACCCTCAACGGGAGAGTAGAAATGAGAAAGTAGCACATGAAATCTTTTAGCTTTACATTTCAGTCCAGTGCTTTAATCCCCTGTAAAACAATTGAAAAGTCAATGAGCAATTTTGTTATAAACAAAACGAATATTTGACTGGTGGGTTGGAATTACTTAGCTGCATATTCCTTCTTATGCAGAATTTTTGTTGAGTTATTTATTTTTAAAGAATGATGGTTTTTGATATGCAGGTTCTCATTAAAGGCTTTTCCAGCACCCAAGAAAGAGGTCGTCCCTTTTCCTAAAGAATAGAATAGAATAACAGAGTTGGAAGGGACTGTGGACATCTTCTAGTCCAATCTTCTGCTCAGGCAGGAAATCCTATACCATTTCAGAAAAATGGTAGTCCAATCTCTTTGTAAAAGCTTCCAGTGTTGGAACATTCACAACTTCTGAAGGCAAGTTGTTCCACTGATTAATTGTTCTAACTATCAGGAAACTTCTTCTTAATTCTCAGTTGCTTCTCTCCTTGATTAGTTTAGTTTAGCTTAGTTTAGTTTATTTTCATTGCACCAAGTACAACGAAACCAAACACCATCTTCAGTGCACATCATGACCATGAAAATAAACACAAACATACACCCTTCACCCTCCACACGTTGAACTGAAAATCCCCAACACCGCACCAATACTGCACTATACAGCAGAATTCAAAAGAGCTACTGCCCTGGGGTAGAAGCTGTTTTTCAGCCTATTCGTCCTTGTTTTTATTATTCTGTACCATCTGCCAGATGGCAATAGTTCAAGAAAAGGGTTCCCAGGATGAGATGGATCTTTGAGAATGTTCTGAACTTTCTTAAGGCAGCAGGAGCTATAAAGCTGTTCCAAAGGGGGGAGAGGGCAACCACTGATCTTCTGGGCAATGACATTAACCCTCTGGAGTGCTTTCCTATCTGCCACTATGCAATTGGCAAACCGTACAGAGGTGCAGTAAGTTAAAATACTCTTTATTGTACAGCAGTAGAAGGTCACCAGCAGTTTTTCATTCAGTTGTTGTTTTCTGAGAAGTCTCATGTAGTATAATCTCTGCTGGGCCCTAGTGATTAGTTTCCACCATTGCTTCTTTTCCTTCCCTCAATTGCTTGGGAGAATAGCTTGACTCCCTCTTCTTTATGGCAACCCTGAGATATTGGAGCACTGCTATCACTGTTGAGCGGTGGTGAGATTCAATTTTTTTTTACTACCAGTTCTGTGGGCATGGCCAGGTGGGCATGGCTTGGCTTGGTGGGCATGGCTTGGTGGGCGTGGCAGAGGAAAGATACTGTAAAATCTCCATTCCCACCCCACTCCAGGGGAAGGATACAGCAAAATTCCATTCCCTCCCCACCAGAGGTGGTATTCAGCACATTCTGACCAGTTCTGGAGAACCAGTAGCAGCAATTTTAAGTAGTTTGCAGAACCAGCAAATACCACTTTTGACTGGCCCTGCCCCCATCTATTCTCTGCGTCCTGAGTCCCAGCTGATCGGCTGGGTCTTCTTTTGTTGCTCTGCACAGGAAAACGGAGCTGGAAAGCAGGTAAGTGGGGTAGGGAGGGAATAGGATTTTGCAGTAACTTTCCCCCAGGAGTGGGGAGTGAATGGAAATTTTACAGTATCTTTCCCCTGCAATGCCCACTGAGCCATGCCCACCAAGCCATGCTCACAGAACTAGTAGTAAAAAATTTTTTTGAATCCTACTACTGCTCCCCACCACGCAGAGAATAGATGGGGGTGGGGCCAGACCGAGGTGGTATTTGCCAGTTTTACGAACTACTCAAAATTTCCACTACTGGTTCTCCAGAACTGGCCAGAACCTGCTGAATACCACCTCTGCTATTGAGGGACGATATAGGGAGAATATGGATGGTTTGAAAGTCAGGAAAGAGTAGGCCTTTTTCAGTGGTGGGATTCAAATTCTTTTACTACCAGTTCTGTGAGCGTAGTTTGGTGGGTGTGGTGTGGTGTGGTGTGGCTTGGTGGGTGTGGCTTGGTGGACGTGGCAGGGGAAGGATGCTGTAAAATCCCCATTCTCTCCCCACCCTACTAACCTGCTTTCCAGCTCTGTTCTCCTGTGCAGAGTAACAAAAGAAGACCCAGCTGATCAGGAGGCAGAGAATAGATGGGGACAGGGCCAGTCAGAAGTGGTATTCTGAACTACTCAAAATTTCTGCTACTGGTTCTCCAAACTACTCAAAATTTCTGCAACCGGTTCTCCAGAACTGGTCAGAACCTGCTAAATACCACTTCTAGCCTTTTCCTATTCTGATTCATGCATTTAGCCAATTGAAAGAACTACCTGTAGCCCTCAACTTACAATAGTTCATTTAGTGACCGTTTGAAGTTACAGTGGCACTGAAAAAAGTGACTTATGACAATTTTTCACACTTCTGAATGTTGCAGCATTACCATGATCAAAATTCAGATACTTGATTCATATTTATGACAGTTGCAGTACCTTGGAGTCATGTGATCAGCTTCTGCAACCTTCTGACAAGCAAAGCCAATGGGGAAACCAGATCCACTTAACAATCACATTACCACCTTAACAACTGCAGTGATTCACTTAACAACTCTGGAAAATAAAGATCATAAAGTGGGGTAAAATTCACTTAACTAATGTTTCACTTAGCAACAGAAATTTTGGGCTCATTTGTGGTTGTAAGTCAGACTACCCGGATACTCCTCGTGTGTTAAGAGACTATAATGAAACAAATTCATAGGCTGTTTGGGGAGCTATTTCTCTCATTGAAAGAGGTTAAGGGCTTTCATGTTACCCACAAGCCAGAAGCTGTCCATCTTGAGAAATGGGACTGATAATTAGGTTAGAGAAGAAATGAGTGCAGCCTAGCCACCTCTGGTAAAAGGTTTAGCTAAGTTTCTTCCTAATACATGCCTGAAAATCAATGGCAGGGTTAGATGTGCAAAGCCAAGAGGTTACATAGCCTCCCATTCAGTTCTAAATACCAAGAATAAATAGCTCACATCCATTGGATTTCAAACAGTAGAGAACAAACTTACGATTCTGCTTCTAATGTCAACAATTTGTTGCAAGGAATGCAAAAAAAAAAAAGGAAAGCAAGAAGAAGAACAACCCATCTTCAGTATTTTTTTTTGTTTCCTTGTGCATACCCATATCACTAACATTAACTTCTACTTCTGCCATCTTTGGGAAATTCTGAGATAGGAAGGCTGTTGTTTCCTCAGCAGCATGAATCAATTTGGTGAGGCTTTTTCTTCTGTTGTGTGCTGGGACAGCTTCCCAAGCCGCCTTCTTATCTTCCTGAACAAAATTATTTACAGTACTAACAAATTCCTGTTGGGTTAATAAAAAATATTGTGTTAACTTTCTATGCTGTATCCTGAACAAGATACCTTGTAAGTAACCAAAACTTTAAATCCCAGTTCACTCACGTTAAGAGTTTGATCTCGAAGCTTCTCATCAGAAATGGTATAATTTGTGATACTCAGCAAGGAAAGGGGTACAGATAACATTTCAACATAAGAAATTACTTCAACTGGTGTAATGGGCCCTATGCTGTTCTTGTTGATTTCTTGTAATACAGCCAGAGGATCTTTTAATTCACTAATCTGAAAGAAAGTTTTAAACCATTATTCATGTCATCCAATACTTCATTTTAAATGAAGAATCATAATTGATGCTCAATTGATAGTTAAAAAGTTGCTACTACTATTCTTTTTTTGTTTTTGTTTTACTGAGCTTGAAAGAGAGGGAACTGTGTGGTGGATAAAATATATGTTGTCTACACAGAGAAGGCCTGGATTCAAATGTGACCATGCCATGAATTTTTGCATAGTAATAAATATCTCTAAGTAAGGTAATCTCACAACATTGCACTAATAATGTTATTCTCAATATCTAAAGATTATTTCTATCCAACAATTCTTACCTTTGGATCAATATTTGCTCCAGGATAAATTTAATTCTAATTATCAATTCCATGTACCAATTTCAGGGTATTTCTGTTATATGTGGCTGGACTACCACTGAAATAATCCACATGCTTAAACAAGAAAGATACCTAAATATATATTACTTCTCTGTTTCTCTTGTTGTGGATTGTGAGAATTTTATTGTGAGAAATAACAGGATTGTGAGAAAATTTAGTGTGGGAAATATCATTAATGTTAAAAGATGGATTGGCTGTTTGTAAAATATCTAATCTTGCTTGAATTATAGCCTGATTTCATGAGACAACATCAATAAAACCTCTTGTTGTAAATACAAGTGTATTGGCAATTTATCAAACTTTTATATGGAACAGAAAGTTGTAATTAAGTTTGAAAAGATTCTCTAACTTTCAGAAGAAATGAATACTAGATTTGTACGAGGAAAGTCCATTTTATTTTTATTCTGGGTGTGGCACTATATAGTTTTTGCAGCTTTCATAAAATTAAAATAACTAAAGGAAATGACAGTGAATCCAACTTCAAAAATCATATAATCAACCCTCTTCTTCTTGCCACACAGTGGAGGATATTTTCACTGCAGTTCTGTATTCTGCCAGTTAGGTCAATGAATCAGATGCCTATAAAATGTCTTAAATTAAATTAATTGAGGGTTATAAGCCACTGTGTCTGGTATGTTATCATAAGTGGATATGAAAGTGGCAATAAATGTATACTGTAAGATTGTGACAGCTATTATTTATTCATTACATTTATTTCCTATTTTTCTTAAAGAACTTTTGAACTGTACCATGTTCTTTTAATCACAATCCTATGGAATGTTACAGACTAATGCCAATAAACTCAAAAGAATCCAGTTCATTTAATGACAGACTGAGGATTTTACTCTAGGTCTTCCTAGTCCCTATCTAATACTCAAAGTATTTATACCAATCTAGAAAAATTTGAGGGAAAATATATACCTACATAAATCTTACTTACTTTAGCTAAAGTTTGGTTAAGGTTTTTAGTTATACAGTTGTTTAGTTCACAGGTTGTTGTTGGTAATGCTGCAGGAATGAAAAAGAAAATAGTGTAATTAATATGCCATAACATGATAATTATACCTAGTCAATTTCCAGTCAATGAAAGAAAGCCTCAGCGACTTCATGTTTTCACAAAGGCTAATGTGTATAGTGTTCCTCAAAGACAAATATATAAGCCTTAATTGCCAAAAGTAGGCTACTGAAAATTATTCAGTGTAATTCGTCTATTTAACAGTACATTGGTTGAAACAATATAGAAGAAAAGCAGACTTCTCTTTTATAATGACAGGGAATTCATGTTTTAACAGATTGACTTGGAATGTGTGCATGTGTGTGTGTGTGTGTGTGTTGGCTTTATTCAAGAATATGCATTACATTTGAAAGTGCATTCCTGTAGTAGTTACCATCATTTGTGTAAATAAATCACTTTGATGCATGATGTGCACCAATTCACAGCCTTTGCTGGATAACACCATCGTGCAAAAGAGATAATTTGTGACATTTGCATAATTGCATGATTACCCACATGTAAATCACTGCAGGAATCTGATCTCCTGCAGGTGAAGCCAGTTGTGTTGAGATCCACTTAACTTTTACTGTATGCAGGGAAATGACTTCTGTATTTCAATCGGCAGACATATCTCTATCTCTATCTCTATCTCTATCTCTATCTCTATCTCTATCT